TGTCTCTGAAAAAAAAAAAAATTAAGAATGCCTCTAGGTACTGTTATGATGATTAAATGAGCTCATATTTGCTGAGTGCTTAGATAAGAGCAAGCATACAGAAGACTCTCTTAGGTGAAGCACTTTAGAAGCAGTGCCTGAGATGGAGGTTCTCCTGTGAACAACTGCTTAGGGGCCTGCTTACACCAGAAAGGGAAGTTGGACAGAGCAGGGGAGGAGCAGGCAAAGCTATGGTTTGGGGAGAAGTCCAGCCTTAGCCTGGTCCCATAGGGGGGGCGTTGGAGGGTTAAGGGCATTAGCATTTGTCCCACCAAGGCAAGGGGGCTGGGATGTTCTACTTCACAGTCAGTTCCTGGGGTGGGATAGAGGTGGGGTGAGTATGGACCTCTTCTACATCTGTCAGTGAAGTGTTATTCTTATTATCCTCCAATGGGAGCCTGCTCCAGTCAAGGGGATCTGGGTTGGGTGTTGCAGCATCTACTATGAAAATCAACAATTTGATCACTCCATGTCCTAAAGGGTGAGAGCTCAGAACTGGAGAATGGGAAGACCTGAGTCTCACTTTCCTTATTCAAGCCATCTTCCCTTTGGTTTCACAAAGCCTTTCCTTAGTCTTTAAATTGAGATTGGCACGCAGACTTCACTTTTGGACAAACCACAATTGCATTATAATTGCCTATTTCTATGTTTGGTTGGGTGGTGGTGGTTGGAGCATAGACTCTATCTGTTCTCAGCAGCATCTCCACACTCAGCACAAAGTTTGCCCACGGTAGATTTACACAGTGTATTTGCTGCCAGTCTAAATGGATGGAGAAAATGTCTCACTTTTTTTTTTTTTTTTTGCAGTTTTTGGCCAGAGGTTGGGTTTGAACCCACCACCTCCGGCATATGGGGCCAGTGCCCTACGCCTTTGAGCCACAGGTGCCTCTCTCTCTTTTTTTTTTTTAAAGACAGAGTTTTACTTTGTTGCCCTCAGTAGAGTCCATTGGCATCACAGCTCACAGCAACCTCCAACTCTTGGACTTAGGTGATTCTCTTGCCTCAGCCTGGGACTACAGGACAACGCCCAGCTATTTTGTTGTTGTTGTTGTTGTTCCGGTTTGGCTGAGGCTGGGTTCGAAACTGCCACCCTCGGTGTATTGGGCTGGCGCCCCACTCACTGAGCCACAGGCACTACTCAAGATCTCTCACTTCTGTGAAGGCCCATCAGCACTGGCCCCCTGGAGCTCCTAACTGGATGCAGCTTTCCCCACCACTTGCTCTATCAGATGTTCTTTTCATCTTGCTTTTCCTTCTACAAGTCCTTTGATAAATGGTGTCACCCAGTCTTTCCACCTCTCTCTGTAGGGGTTGGTTTCATTCCAACACATTCCAGCCCCATTCAGAGTCGTTTCTAGCGATAAATTTGTGCTCAGTTTGTGAGGTTCTGAAGTGACAAAGTGCCCAGGAGAGCAGAAATGCAGCTTCAGAATGGCCATGTGGAGTGGTGAGGTGACTGCACAGTGGGCAGGTAGGGAGGAGAAAAGAAGGCAGTAGCGGGTCCATTGGCAATAAATCCTGCTAATCAGAAGGGAAGGTGTCAGTGTCAGGACACCTGGCATGTGTGATATCACAAAGTATTTGCTTTTATTTATTTATTTTTTTGGAAGACAGAGTCTCACTATGTTGCCCTTGGTAGAGTGCCATGGTGTCACAGCACACAGCAACCTAGAACTCTTGGGCTTAGGGTTAGCTCCTTGGAGATCAAGGAAGTTTCTGCGTGGTAGTGGGAGATGGGGAAGAAAGACCTTCTATAGTTCCCTGGCAGTCTCTATACTTTCATGTCCTTTTTATTTTATTTATTTATTTTTTTATTGAGACAGAGTCTCACTTTGTTGCCCTCAGTAGAGTGCCATGGGGTCATAGCTCATAGCAACCTCAAACTCTTGGGCTCAAGCAATTCTCTTGCCTTAGCCTCCCTAGTAGCTGGGACTATAGGCACCTGCCACAATGCCTGGGTATTTTTTTTTTTTTTTTTTTTAGCAGGCCTGAGCCAGGTTTGAACCCATCAGCCCCAGAGCATGTGGCCAGCGCCCTAACCACTGAAGTACAGGAGCCCAGCCTCATATCCTTGTTAAAAGACAATGACAACTACTTTTATCTTTACAAAAGTAATATTATCATCTTGCAAAAAATTTGGGCCAGCTGCTATGGTTTACACTTGTAATCCCAGCACTTTGGGAGGCTGAGGCAGGAAGATTGCTTAAGGCCAAGAGTTTGAGACCAGCATGAGGAAAATAGGGAGACCCGCATCTCTACAAAAAGTAATAAAAAAAAATTAGTCCAGGCTTGGCGCCTGTAACTCAGTGGTTGGGGTGCTGGCCACATACACTAGGGCTGGTGGGTTGGAACCCAGCCCAGGCTTGCTGAACAACAATGACAACTACAAAAAGAAAAATAGCCAGGGGCGGCACCTGTGGCTTAGTGAGTAGGGCGCTGGCCCCAAATACTGAGGGTGGTGGGTTCAAACTCGGTCCCAGCCAAACTATAACAAAAAATAGCCGGGCGTTGTGGTGGGCGCCTGTAGTCCCAGCTACTCAGGAGGCTGAGGTGAGAGAATCACCTAAGCCCAAGAGCTGGACGTTGCTGTGAGCTGTGACGCCATAGCACTCTACTGAGGGTGATAAAAGTGAGATTCTGTCTCAAAAAAAAAAATAGCTGGGTGTTGTGGTGGACGCCTGTAGTCTCAGCTACTTGGGAGGGCAAGGCAAGAGAATCACTTAAGCCCAAGAGTTTGAGGTTGTTGTGAGCTGTGATGCCATAGCACTCTACCGAGGGCAACATAGTGAGACTCTGTCTCAAAAAAACCAAAAAACAGAAAACAAAAAATTAGTCTAAGGCAGGTGGCACACATCTGTAGTCTCTGACACTCAAGAGACTGAGGGGAGAGGATTGCTTGAGCCCAGAAGTTCCAGGTTGCAGTGAGCTGTGATCATGCATGCCACTGTACTCCAGGCCAGTAGACGGAGATCCTGTCTCTCTCTCTTTGGCTCTCTTTCACCTCTTTCACACACACACAAAAGCAATTAAACAAAATGAAGAAATACTATTGTAAGCATTTTAGGACATTTTCTTTTTTTCAAACAGATGTCACTCTGAGTAGAGTGTTGTGGCATCACAGCTCACAGCAACCTCAAACTCTAGGGCTTAAGTGATCCTCTTGCCTCAGCCTCCCAAATAGCTGGGACTACAGGTGCTCTGCCACAATGCCCAGCTATTTTTAGAGATGAGGTTTCACTCTGGTCTCCTACCTGTGAGCTCAGGCAATCCACCTGCCTAGGCCTCCTATATAATACTAGGATTACAGGCCTGAGCTACCGCGCCGGCCAGGACATTTGCCTTGAGTCTCTTCCCTTATGTATCTGGATTAGAGTTACTTAGACTTTTTACTACATTTTAAAAAATCACTGTAACGGTGTTAAACCACCTTCCTGATACTGCCTGCATTTCCTAGCATAATGTCTTAAGGGTGAGAGATTTGGAGCAAGACACAGCACCAACTCTGGAGATTTCAGTTTCCTTAGCTATGAGCCACGAGTGGAACATTAATTACTACGTAGGTTTAAAGTTTTAGGAGTTGCCCAGGCTTCCTTGACAGCAGTGGCCTACTAGGGGCTCTGCTCAAACAATCAGATCCTACAGACTGGACAAAAATCTCAGGGAAGGTCAAGGAGCCCCCACACAGTGTGGGGACCCCAGGTCAGCCCTTTTGAGGATCTCCTGGTAGGGACGCAAAGTGGCCACCTTCCCAGCTGTCCGCTTCAGGTTTGAGAAGAGGACCGGCTGTACAGGCCTCTTCTCAAGGGCTTTATCCACCTTCACGGGGCCAGCCTCGGTATTCAGGAGACCTAGGACGCGGCCTCTGCCCCAGGTGCGCAAAGGTGAGGAACTCAGACCTTCAAGGCCTGGGGGAGGGTGAAGCCAGGTGACTGACCTCTCCCCCGGGAATTGTTGGGCCCCAGGAGTCAGCCCCAGGCAAGCCGATCCTGCAGCCCGGGTGGGGCGTAGTCCACTTGGCCCTCCTTCCTCTCCGTGGTGGCCCGGGGGCGGACTGACGCGGCGGCGCCCATCCTGGCCCCGGTGTGGTTTCCCAAGGCCGGAGGAGGTGGTGCAGCGCGAGGGAAGAGGGAGGAGCACGCGGAGGAGGAGGATGAAGGAGGAGGGGAGCAGCTGGAGTTGGGGGGAAGGGGCTGGGGAGTAACGGAGAGCCGGGGAGGGGACCCGGAGAGAGACTGGAGGAGGAGCAGCCGGCGTCGAGGAGCAGCCGAGAGTGGGCGTGTGTGTATGTGTGTGGAGGGGGAGTAAGAAGGGGCGGAGCCACGGTCGTGGGTGGAGAGGCAGAGGCGGGGGAGAAGGAGCCTCTGAGAAAGACTTAGGGAGGAGCAGCGGGAGCCCCGCCCC